TAATGCTCTTTATCAAGTTGATTTATAAATAATGTTTCACCATCACAATCAAATAATTCATATCCTTCATCTAGCGACTCTGTTCACAATCTAGCGACTCTGTACACAATCACATCTAGCGACTCTGTACACAAGTTCTTTGTCTTTGCTTTAGTTTCACTCCTTTTGGAGGTGTAATTAGCCCCTGTAGATCTTTAAAATTTTGTGGGCTTGGGATAAGCATAAGTTTTTTGCGAAATACTTGAAGCTTTTCTCCCACTAAGGCAAATATTCTTTCCGAAGCTAGATAATCCTCGCTTCCGTCTAAAGCATTGGTTACCCACAGTACCTTAAATCGACTAGTAACATCAATCTCCATCGAATTCCAACTTTTTAGTAGCATTTGCATCATGTGATCCCTGGATGGCTGTCGAATTTTTTGGGGTTCAAGCCTTAATTGCTCGGTCATAAGATTTTACTCCAACTCTCGGTATTTAGCTTTTAAAGGCCTGTGGAAACCTGTATCGTTAATTTGAACGTCCCCTGTAACACCACCACCTATTCCAACGTAAATATAGTCTTTCTTTAGTTAGGCAGCTTTGATTTCTGCCATTATATGAACACTATAATCATCTAGAACATAAATCCCGTAATTTTGTGTAAAAATATTGTGCCTGTTTGGTAAATTAGCTATTGTACTCAGCATATGTTCCAATCGATAGAAACCTTTAGGTGCCCATTGAAACTTCACATCTTTAAGAGGATTAAGTTTAACCCTAACACCTTTGCCTTTAAACACAAATTCTGATTTAATTGATACTTTAAGGTCACTGAAAATTTGAGTGAAACAGTAATTCGTTCTCTTGAAAGAGAATAATTTTCTTTGACGTATGTGTCCAAACTAGTAAAGTTCAAGGTCTTTTAGATAGAACTTTCATTTCGGTAGAGTGGCATTAGGTCACCATTCAGCACAGGTGGATCAACTCCAAAATTTTCAATAAAGTATTTACGTACAGCCTAAATGTTTTTCAGGTACTCAAATATTCTTCTTTCACGGTCAGCCTACATTATTTGAAAGCGTTTGTTAGTATGGCGCAGACTGACACCATGCTCACTCATCCAGTTATTTAACCAACGGTTTGAGAAAACAATTTCCTTGTTCTCTGGCACTTCTTCTGGTTGTATGGCAAGCCACTGTTCATAAAAAAGTTTGCATTGTGCTGTAAACATTTTCCTGGGTAAACGTGCTTTAAGGGTTCCACGGATGTCTACAAACCACTCGAATAAATGTTGTCTGACTTTTGGGATACTTTAATTTGCTCGGAGGAGCAGTTACAGCATCTTCATCTGCCTCAAGTTGGTTTAGACATCTTTTCCCATGTTTTAGGGCTTTTTTTAAGATTGGATTATCATGCTTGATGTCTTTAAAGTCCGAATAAAACTCTCTTACAGCTCTTGTGAGATATCCTTTGCGTGGCAATGTTTTAACGTGTTTCTTTCTTTTTTCACTAAAGTTGACTATTTGAAAGGTTTCAGCAATCGATAAAATCAATAAAAAGCAATCGCACTCTTTTTTGTAACTTTTACAAAGTTTATCTAAAGAATTTTTTTCTTCCAAACTGTATTTATCTCGGTCAGTTCTTGAAAATTTCCGATCTGACGCCATGTTACAATATAAATATTTTTGTAAAAAATTTTAATTTATAAATCCAAACCAATATTTTTTAAAACGCATGCATAAAACTATTTATGCATGCTTCTGGAAAATGTGAAGCCTAGAGTCAAAAGCGCATTTTCTAACAGCTGTTAGGGTAGGGTTAGGCTGTTTTATCATAATTTCAATAGGATTTAATATGCTGATATAAGTTTTATACTTTGCAAAGTATAAAACTTATATTCAGCATATTAAATCCTATAATTAAAACCAAAGCTTTGTTGAGACATAAACACTGATCTCAAAATAATAACTTATTTTGAAATATTATTTTGAGATTAGTGAAAACAAACTAAAAGTTCATTTATAGCAAATCGAGATTTAATAGGTCGACAATTTGCAAACCTGTTTATACTGAAAGTTTTTATTTTTATCGGTAACTGAAAATTATTTTCAAATTTTTAAAGCCGATTTTCACTGAATTTTTTTTTTTACTTTTGAGATATATAAAATTTTTGTTGATAACAAGTAAAAATTATTAAACGGAGGGGAAGGGAGGGGGGAGAGGAAAAATATCCAAAAATTATTAAACGAGGGGGGGGGGGGGGAAACGTTTATTAGGAACTCGAGAGTACTTAATGTTAGAGCGACTTCAAAAACTTAAAAGAGCAGTTCAAATGTATTTAGCTGATCATAATGAATTGCCAACATTTGCATCAAATGATTGGAAAAATCATTGACAATTTATTATATGTTTTAAAGCCTTTTTATGAACTTACTAATGTTATGAGTTCTGAACTGTGTAGTTTATCAACAGTAGTTCCAAATATATGTACTTTACAAAGATTTTTATTAAAAATTGATCAAAAAGATGATGCAATTCAAATAACAAAACAACTTATAGAATCTTTAAATAAGAGATTCTTTTCTCATGATAATCTCAATATAACAAATAATGAAAGATATATTTTACCCACCATTATTGATCCTCGCTACAAGTTTAAATTTCTTCCTGTTGATAAGAGAAAATAAGCAAGATCAATGCTATTAGATGCTGTAGTAAAAAATCAAAGAAATATAGCTGGACTTTTATCAGTTGTTATTAATAGAGTTACCACAGTGGCGAATTTAGTATAAGGTGTGGGGGGCGAGTTGCCCCCCCCCCCACGTCCCCCAAGAACGGTCTAACGGCGCCCCCTAAAACAATCCAAAAAAAAAATATTATAAGATCAAATTACTAAAGACAACCCCGGTCGCCCCTATTCATTGACTTGGCTCCCCCGCGACACTAAACCTCAATCCGCCACTGAGTTACCAGCTCCACCACCACCATCTCCAATCATTTAACGCCAAAATCCCCAAAAAAGTTGGTTTGGAAGAAAATGACTTTAAATCCTGCTTTTTAGAACTTGCAGAATATGAAGGAGGATTTAGGTAAGAAAATCTCTTTCTGTTTATTAAAAAAAAATTTTAATAATTTTAAAAACTTTTTTGATAAACAGAAAAACTTTTTATTAAGTTTTTTTTTTTGATAGCTATATTTTGCATGTTGTTGGTTTGCTGATTTAAGTAATATATACATTTTATTGAATAAAAATATATAAATAAATCATCTTTAGTAGTTAATTTTTTTTATATTACAGAACAAAATAGTGAAATAAATCCTGATCAAGTCTCTCTTGTAAAAGCTGCCCAAGAAGTTGATTTTTTCTTTAGTCACTCGATTATAGAAAAAAAGAAGACGTTTTTAATTATTGAAGACACGTAGAGAAGTTTCCACTTCTAAAAGAATTAGCACTTAAATTATTAGCAACTCCAGGATCCTCTGTATTTTTGGAGCGATTGTTTTCCGAATATGGAAATATTTACGAGAAAAAGCGATCAAGGCTGTTACCTCAACGTGGAGAAATGTTACTATTTATTCGTCATAATGGAAATAAATTTGTAAATGAGTGATAAACTGATGTTTTGTTACTTTTAATTTTAATAGTATATGAATAATAAACTATTATTAATATAAAAATATAACATTTCTTGGTTTATTAAATCTTTAAATTTCTAAATAACTTTAACTTGAAATATCCGGTTTATCAAAAACCGGATAATGTTATTATCCGGCCAGATAACGGATATCTTATCCGGGACACCCCTAGTTTTTATTGTAACCATTATCTTTGTAACGGTTTTTATTAATTATACCTAATGACGCTGATCACAATAGATCAGCGAAACATCGAATAATATATATTAAAATGAAAAAAAAATATTTTTCAAAAAAGTTTATACGCAGCCGTTTTTATTGAATTTTAATTACATTATAATGTATGACAAGAGTATGACTTTCAAAGGTTATATATATATATATATATATATATATATATATAACCTTTGAAAGTCATACTCTTAAAATACTCATAAAAGACATCACTGGACCTATTTGTTTTATTCCTACACCTAGTGGCGTAGAAAGGTTTTTAAATGTTTGTAATAACCAATTTTTAAACAAAAGTTTAAAAGTTGGTTTTTTCAAACATAAAAATTTGGTTATTTCAAACATTTAAAATTTGGTTATTTCAAAAGTTTAAAATAGGTGTAGCCACTGCCTACACCTAAAATTACCTTTTTGGCTTATACACAGTTATAAGACCTACTTCATCAATATTGTAAATGCCATCAGCAGTAAACTTATAGCGTTTCTGCACGTTGTCAAGATTTTCGTAGATGACTTCTACATTTGTGCGATGAGAACTAGTTTTTCAACTAAGGCTATTAACATTTGGCAAACAGCTATTTCATTTCTTTTCCAGTTTTCTGGTTTTATTTGTTTGTTTTTTTCATTTTATTGTCATTTTTAACTGTATTTTGATGTGCAAATTGCTTTGCTTCGTTTACATTATTCCCTAATGCATTACAGATATTTAATGCATTACAGATATGGAAAGTTTTTTTTTCTTTTTGTGCTTTATTAAAAATTTGTTTGTTGTTTGTTTCATTGTTAACTTTCATTTTCCTCTGAAAACTTCCTCTGATAACTGAAAAATTTCGAAATCTTATACTCTAGTAGGGGAGAGTGGTACTGAATGGACCTTGTACTGAATGGACCATTAGAAAAATAAAAACTTAACAAGCTGTTAATTGATTTTTTTTAATTGCATATAATTTTTGTATACTCAAAGTTTCTTTGATATTTTTGGTTTAACGTTATTCGTAATAATGCATTAATATTTGCATTTTTTGTTTTTTTCGAGCAAAAAGTAAATTTTTATCTTTTCAATTTGTTTCAATTTACACTAGATTTTTAAGGTAAAGTTAACTATGGTTAATAATAATATTATAGATACATATTTTTTACTTTGTATAACATTAGAATGAATGTTATATGATTTACTGATTGCTGTGATTATATGGGTAACATGTACATTTTGATTAGTGTACTGGATGAACCACCATTGATTGTACTGAATGGACCGGTTCATTTTTCTGCGAAGTTATTTATCGCGCTTCAGTATTTTACTTACTAAAACAAAATACAGAAGTTTTTTTATCTAAATGAACTAAGGAGATGTGAGTTAGGAAATAAACCAAAATATCTAGTTAACGAAGACTTAAGGGCGCAAGTTCAATTATTCATTATTCAATATAATATTAAGGTAAGCAGATAATATAATATTAAGATAAGCAGACTAATAGCTTACATATTAGGTTAATAATTATTAATTTGTAGTTTGTTTCATTATTTCAATAACTGAATGTCATAATATTATTACGATATATAAATAAGGTGGTATTACTTTTAATAACATCTAGCATATAACATTTGTTATATATACTATATATAATAAAAGTTATATGCTAGATATGTTATATGGCATATAATATGCTAGATAAGCTATATGCTAGATATTATATAATATATCTGAAATGTTATTTATACGTTTTTAAAAACAATGACAATTACCATGGTCAGTAATTTTTACAATACAAAAAATCAAGTAATATCTAATAAAACCAAGAATAAAATTACTAAAGCTTGTTGATCATAATAAAAAAATTATTCTACATTCAAGCTTTTATATAATTTAGTTTTTTATACATGTTATATGTGCGTGCGTGTGTGTGTTTAGATAATTAAATATATATATATATATATATATATATATATATATATATATATATATATATATATATATATATATATATATATATATATATATATATATATATGTATATATATATAAAATAGCATCGATAATTTTTTTTTATAATATGGTTATAAACAAGTTTTATTTATTTCAGAAGTATTATGAGACATCGAAAAGCAACAGCACTAAAAGGTGATTGGGATCCCAATAATATGATCCAAGCAGTTGAAAATGTTTTAAATAAAACTCTATCTGAAAGAAAAGCTGTTGAGATATTTGGAGTCAAACGTTCAACTCTTAAGAGGCGAATAAAAGAAGCTTGACTATCTCAAAATGGATTGAATAAGTTGCAATGTGTTCCATATAGTAAGAGTTCTATGAAAATTTTTTCAGTAACAGAAGAACAAGAGCTGGTTCAATATTGTTTAGTTTCTGCAAAAATGGGATATGGGTTAAGTCCTATCAAGCTAAGAGCACTAACATTTGAATATGCTCTCAAACTTGAGAAGAAGTGTCCACATTCTCGTCGAGGTTCTGCTAAACCTTGGGAAACAAATAAACATGCAGGTGTAGATTGGTTTAGAGCTTTTTTAAGTCGTCATCCAGAACTTGTTATAAGAAAACCAGAGGCAACATCAATTGGTCGAATGTCAGCATTCAACAAGTATAATGTAAATCTATTTTATAATAATCTGCAAAGTCTTTTGATTAAATACAAGTTTTCACCAAATGATATATGGAACGTTGATGAGACTGGTGTTACTACTGTACAAGTGCCAGAGCATGTTTTAGCCAAGAGAGGAGAGAGGCAAGTTGCTTCTGTTACAAGTGCAGAACGAGGTATCTTGGTAACAATGTGCAATGCAGTAAATGCAAGTGGATCCTCAATAACACCATTCTACATATTTCCACGTGTTCATTTTAAAGATTTTTTTCTGCGAAATTCAATTCCTGGTTCTGTTGGCACTGCCAACAAATCTGGGTGGATGGTGGAATCAACCTTTATGGAGTGGTTTAATCATTTTATAAAAAGTGTTCGACCATCTAAGACAAACCCTGTGCTGTTGATACTAGATAATCATGAGTCTCATTTGTCAATTAACTTTATTGACTTAGCATCAGATAATGGTGTAATTGTTTTAACAATCCCACCCCATACATCACACAAACTGCAACCGTTAGATATAACAGTGTATGGACCTTTCAAACGTCATTATAAACGTGAAATTGATAGCTGGTTGGTATCACATCCAGGAAAAACTGTTTCAATCTATGACATTGCAGAAATTTCTGGAAAGACTTGGGCAAAAGTATCAATGCCAGTTAACATCATTAGTGGTTTTTCAGTATCTGGAATAAGTCCTTTTTAACCTGATCGGTGGAAGGATGAGGATTTTTTTTTATCTCAGGTTACAAATAGACCCAATCCTGAAACACTCAACATCAATCCAGTGTCATTAGAAATTATTAGACCTAATCCTGAAGCACTTAACATCAACCCAGTTTCAGTTGAAATTAATAGACCTAATCCTGAAGCACTCAATATCAATCCAGTTTCAGTAGAAGTTATTAGACCTAATCCTGAAGCACTCAACATCTATCCAGTTTCAGTAGAAATAAATAGAAATGTTAAGGTCAACAAAAATGTTAGCAATACCCTGAATGTGGAAAGTATACGCCCTTATCCTTCTGCAAAAGCTCGTTTAGAAAAAACCAAAGGTGCTCGCAAAAAGCTCTCCTCTTCGATTCTAACTGATACTCCAATTAAAGAGGCTCTTCGAAATCAACAACTTCAGCAAAATTTAAAAAAACAAAACTTTTCTGAAAAACAAAAAGATGCTAAAAATAAACGTCAAAGGAAATCAAGAAAGAAATCAAGCAACTCAAAAACTCTAAAGTTTCCATTAATGACATATAATAATGATGAGGCTGATGATATTCTTGTTGAAAGAAATGATAATGGTGTCAAAGATAGTTTAAATTTTTGTGGAGGTATTACATCAAATTACGATTTGTGTGCTATATGTGAAGAAATGGGTCGTGACAACGAAGTGTGGTACCGTTGCAGACAGTGTGCGAGCTGGGCACATAAAGCTTGCACAAGTGCAGATAATGCCAGCCAATATGTTTGTGATTATTGTAATTTGATTATCTGATTGAGACTTCGGTCTAAAGTTGTATTAATTAATTCAGAAATATCAATGTTTCAACATACTTCTTTCTTGTTTTTAAACTCCATTTATCACCCTAATTGCTTTGCATAATGTAACTTGTTATGCGCAATTGTTTACAACTTTTATTATAATATACAATATACAAGGATAGTTAGTTAAAATATTAATCTTGTCTCCCGAATTAATATATCGGCTATAGTTATTAGCGATAGAGATATTGATCTTTTTTATAAAAAAAAAAACTTTTTTTGTGGTCCATTCAGTACAAGGGTTGGTCCATTCAGTACAATGAACAGTACTGAATGGACCACTAAATAATTTGGTACGGGTCACATTTATCGCACATTTTGCCTATGTTCTGTTTGCGCAATGGTTTACAACTTTTAAGGATTGTTAGTGAAGGTATTAATTTTGACTTCTGAATTAATATATCCGCCATAGTTGTTGACAATATGGGAAAAAATTATTTTTACAAAAAAGTTGAATTTTGTGGTCCATTCAGTACCACTCTCCCCTACAGCAGCTACTTCATTACGAAAATTTTTACTCCTGAAAAACTGCCAGACTCCTTAAGCAACCACTTTTATTGAACAGGCATCAGATCAACTGCTTTTTAAATTCGTTTGTAGTTTCTTGGTAACTGAAGAAAAATATTAGACATCTTAATTACTAAAGTATTAGGAAATTATGCTTTACGTATTTTTATTTGTTTTTGTTATTATTATTTTATTATGTTTTATTTAATTATATAGGTTTTCCCCTCAAAAAATACTTTAGAGTATAGGTTTTCCCCCTAAAAAATACTCTGACGCTATTGGTTACAAAATAAAGTTCAAGTCGAACTTGACTCAAGTTTGATTCTTGCACTCCAACCTTAGTCTGTTTACATGCTTTTTTACAGAAAAAAAATGTTTTAAAACTAAAATGTAGTAAATTAAAATTAGATGGTATTAAACAGTGTCCCATTTTACCCCAATATTCGTCACCCATTCACCCCATTATTAGCAGTTGTAAAATAATCTTTTTTTATATATAGTTGTATACCTTTTTTTATAAAACAGAATACACACTGATATGCTTTTCATATATGATTGAATAATAATAAGCTTATTTCACACAGAAATAGCTTTAGACTATACCGTTCATTAATAATCTCTGTCTTAATTTTGAATTAAACTCTATCAACTTTCTAGTGTTTATTAGTACAGGGTTGCCGCTATAATTTTTAAAGTTTTTTTCCCTGAGTTTTCCCTGACTTTTCTATAATCTTTCCTGTTCATCAACATGATTATTTTCCTTAATTAAACATAATCCTTACATTTGACAAACTAAAACTTTTACAAAAACACTCACATTATGCAAACTTATTATTATATGTATTAGCAAAATATTTTTGAAAAAAAATTATTGTACAAAATTTCAAAAAAAAAAAAATTTTTTCCCTGAGTTTAATAAAAATTTAAAAAAATCCCTGAGTTTTCTAGGTTTTCCCTAAGATTCATGCTATTTCCAGGTATTCCAGGTTGAGTAGCAGTATTTTGAGTAGGTAGTATTTTATTCTATAAGTATAGAGATTAAAAATTCAGTTGTCGCTAAGTAACTTTTGGGCTTTATATAGTTGTTATTTGAATATTTAGTTAAGTATTTATGCCGATTTATTTTAAACGGGTTAAAAATTTTGAAATTAATACTTTAAAACTTAAAAAAAAAAAAATTAATGAATTATTTGAAAAATATTTAACTTAGGAGATAGAGGTTAGAAACGCGTAAACAGCTTACGCTGGATATAATACTGATTTTTTAATTTTTTCTTATTGTTATTGCACCAACCAATCTTTAAGTTTGGGTTTTTCTCAATAAATCAAGTTAATGTTCTTTGAGAACTTACCTTCTAGACATTTTTCCAGATATGTCAAAAATAGAGTACGCTGAGGTGTGTGTAAATGTGTGTTTCTTAAAGTGTTTTTTAAGAATAGATGATCTGGATCCGCCCCTGCTTGTCTGGTTACTTTGGTACTCTGCAGCTTTACTTTAGAATGGATTTATAAAACAAGTTCATTAGTTTATGTATGATATTAAGGTATTTTTAAAAATATTAACAATTATTATTGTCAGCGTTTACCTAATTGATTATCACTAAGTTCGGAAAAAGGTTACTGATATAATTTGGAAATTTGGGAAAAAAAGTCACCATTTGGAAGATCCCTTGGTTAAAAATTTTTTAATGACTTTTAGGTAATATTTCTTTCAGATGTTTTTCAAATCATGAATATCGTATATTAGGTTTAAAAGTTCGAAATAAAATTACCATTAGGGTTCAATATTTTATGACAAAGTAATAACGAAAGATTCTTGTTTTAATTTATTTATTTTCTTTACATTTTGGGGTTAACTTTCTTGCCGGATATTTGCCGTACTTTTTTCCTAGCTTTAAAGCTAGGATGTTTTGTTATCGATTTTGCTTTTCAAAACCTATAAAATGTATTCATAGACATAAATTTCGCAGAGCTATAATTATGTTTATTATACAATCTGTATTGTTTTATATAATTTATAATAAATATAAAAAACATATTCATATAATGTTGTATATTTAGCAATCTACATTACCTTTGATAAGAAGCTCATTTTAAATGACCATTAAATAACGAAGAAGTGATATCACAATGGAGAAAAAAAAAAAAAGCAACATTAGAAATTACAAAACGGTTTATTGCACCACAATTGTCTGTCAAGTGAAAATCTATTTTTTTCCTTCGATAACTGGCGCTCAACATGTTTAATAGAATCAATATGACTCGCTACAGCTTTATCAATTGTGGAACGAACACTACTATAATTTTCATCTTTGCTTGAAATTGAATTAGATTCTGAATAGTCTTTCACTAGGTTATATAGTTCTGGTGATTGTAATTTTAAAACACTATCACCAAAACATTTACATAATAAACCATCACAAAAATTACTTTCATTATAAGACTTCGGAATTTGATAATGCAATTTCCAAACATTGCCATCATTAGTTGTATAAGTAACAGCCTCTAGTTTCGCTCCGCAATAATGATATAAAAATCTCGGGAGAGGATCAACATTAAAACCTCTCAAAATATGTGAAATATCCATACCATCTAACAATTGGTTTGAAGAAGCCGGTATGTTAGAAATAGACATCAAAGTCGGATAAACATCTAAAAGACTAGTAGGATGAGCGTATTGTGTGTTGCTAGGTATCTTACCAGGCCACATTACAACAGTTGGAACTCTTATGCCACCTTCAAAACTGGAAGATTTACCACCTCTATAGCTTCCTTTCCAGCCTCCGTGATATTCTCCATTAACTATCATATATAACGCAGGTCCATGATCTGATGTAAAATAAATGAATGTTTTATCAAGCACTTCAAGTTCTTTCAATTTATCAAGAATTAGTCCGACCGAGTAATCGAGTTCTTCCACATTATCGCCATATTTTCCATGTTTACTATGTCCTACAAAATTTGGATGTGTTTTTAATGCTGAATGAACTTTATGATATGCAACAACAGCAAGAAAAGGAACTCTTTTACTATTTTCAATGAACCCGTTAACTTCTTTAGTTAACTTCGATGTAAATTGAGATAAATCTACAGGTTGTTCGACTACATCATGGTTTCGCATAACAAAACAATTCGTGTAACGAACTATCATACACCATAAAATAAATAAACACCAAAGAATAAAATAAGTTGCTGTGAGAAAAACAATATACCTTTTACAAATGAATTTACTTTTTACTAATATAAAAATTGTAACACAAATTGTTGGTAAAAACATTCTACTTATTGGAAAGGGTAAACGAGGCACCAATTCATAAGCTCCGTTATCAATATCACTGCAATCTTGTATGTTGGTTAATGGTAATCCATAATAATAATCAAAACCATGGTTTAAAGGAAAATGCGAAAAATCACTGTTGTTACAGCAGTGAATACCTAAATGCCACTTGCCAAAATAACCGGTGGTAAAATTGTTTTCTTTTAGGACACGACCAAATGTTTTCTGTGTCGGCTGTAAACCAGAAGAGCTAGATGACCTAAGAATCACTCTGCTAGCATCGTCCTCAAATGCACCAAACCCCAGCCTTAATGCATATCTTCCAGTTAACAATGCAGCACGACTTGGTGTACATATCGACTCTGCTGCTAAATTATGCATCAGTTTCATGCCATTCTTTGCAATATAATCTATATTTGGTGTTTTAATGCTACTGTTGCCAAAGCAACCAATGTCAGCAATACCTAAATCGTCAGCAATAAATATAACTATGTTTGGTTTACCATCCACATAGAATAGAATAAGCAGCAACAGCAGATACATCTTTAAAAAACCAACAATTGTTGCCTAAACAATTATATAAGTAAAATCATAATTTTAATATAAAAAACTATTTTTAAATTTGGATTAATTTATTTTTCTCTTTAAACTTTTTTTTATTAATCGGTGATTAAAATTTAATAAAAATATTTTGTACAGTTTTGATGAATGTTATTTGAAATAAGTTTAGAACATTGCAAGCTAGTGACAAGATCAGACTACAGATTTTTTGTATAACAAATTCAGACCATCATGAATAAAAACAATTCAAAAAAATGCTTTAGGGGCATCCATAAAATACGTACACAATAAAAACATTGATTTAGGACCCCCTCTCCCCCTTATATGTACCTGTATATTTTCAACAACTTTTCTTCTTCCCTCTTCTTTTATTTTTTATTACATAATCAACCCTAATAATAATCATAATAAAAATCAAAACATAAAAACAAAAAAACTTAGGTTGATTTTTTAAACTCGTGAAATGCAACTGCTATTAAATTTTATAATGCTTTTGTAAAGCGTACTCGCTGCCTTTAACATCTACCCAAGAAAAGAATTCCCTGGTTTAACATCTACCCAAGAAAAGAATTCCTTGCTTTAACATCTACCCAAGAAAAGAATTCTCTGGTTTAACATCTACCCAAGAAAAGAATTCCCTGCTTTAACATCTACCCAAGAAAAGAATTCCCTGGTTTAAAACTCTTGAAAACTCCTTTTTACCTTTAGGATCTACAAAGCTGAGAAATCTATAAAGCTGAAAAAAAGCTGAGAATATTGATAAACTTCGTTAAAAAAGCTGAGAATATTGATAAACTTCGTCGATAAACTCACATCGTTGTACTATAAACCGAAAAACGAATTATTCACGTGACATCTGTTAACAACACGCAAACAAACTGGCGAAACGCTGAACGAATTCATACGAGCATTCCAAAATCTAGCAAGAGACTGCAACTTTAAAGCCGTAACAGCCGATATTAGGTTTAAGTGATAAATGCAGTGTGATACGCCAGAAACTACTAGAACACAAGACTCTCACACTTTTATCGGCATTCAATCAAAAAAGATTACTAGAGTTTGCACAGAAATACTCCGAACAGTATCAGTCTAACGTCCTGCGAATTGTAATGCAAGAAAATATACCGATAATCAAAAAACTTCACCAACGACCACAAAACTGTGTGACTACTGTGGAAACATATAACACTTATCCTGCTCAAAATGCTGTTTGCCACAAATGTAAAAAACAAGTACATTTTCCTTAAGTATGTAAATCGAATAGATCATTAGCTGTTACTAAATCCAAAGACTCAACAAATACATTGTCAATAAGTATCAAAACCCATATATAAGTATCAAAACCCATACAAAATTCAACGCTACTGTAGAGTACATACAATTTTTTCAAATTAGAAGTATGTAGATATTACTTTATTTATGTGCTAATGTTATTTTCGGTCAAGCTTTTGAAACAACATAGAAATATAAAAATATCTTTTGGAGGAACATTACCTCCTATGTCAATTTGTGGTTTAAAAAAAAAAAGAGATATCACACAAAAGTGTAATCCCAATTAATTCAATCAATTTACTTGTTTATGCTGTATCTCCTAATAGTATAAAGCCAGACCCAGAGAGATAAAAATCCTTACCTCATTAAACAGTACCGCTAAATAGTAGAGTATTACAAAGAATTGTAAACTGTTCTCCTACTGTTCAAAGTATATCTTGATTTACTCTGAAAAGGTAAGTTTGTTATTACAGTGTTTATCATTCCCACTCAATCAGCTAAAGACTTTGACTCTAAAAAACGATACAGCGAACGTTGTCGCAAAAACAATTAAAAAAACAATTTGTTGTTGAAACAGATGTAACTGATTTTTTTGTTAGCTGCAATATTAAAACAAAATGGACAAATAGTGTCCTTCTCAAAACCTTTAAAACACGAAAATACACTGATGAGCTATTGAGAAAGAAGCATGCGCTAAGCCCACTTTTGACATCAACTAAAAGTTGGTATATCTTTACAATTATTTACTAGCACAATTTCCACTCGCTTTTCCTTGCTCTGATACATCTTTAGTAATATGGTGTTTTAAGAATCTGTTCTCTTTGCATGCCTGCTTATATTTATTCTGACAGAGGCAGTTCTTTGTTATCAGAAGTACTTTCTTGCATAACCGAGGCGTTGCCACAAGCAGAATGAGGCTTAATCCCAGAGGAAACGGACAAATAGAGCACTTTAATAGAATATTATCGATATTTTTGACATAAGGTTTCAAATCAAAAAAGTTTCCATTCAAAACTGGGAAATTGTGTTGCAAAATGCCTTACACTCAATTCGCTCTTTATTTTGTACTGCAATAAATGCAATACCACAAGAGAATTTCCCAAACAGATAAGAATCCACTGTATCCATTAGAGATTTACCACCACGAGGAAAGAGTAAACCTCCTTACTTAAGTACTAAAAATGCTGAAAATTGTATTACTCATACAGAGTATACTTTGCAATTTAATAAACCCACAAAAAATATGTCTAATACATGAAGATGAAAAAATTAGTAAAAGTTTAAACATATCTTAAAACTTTGGAAAAAAAAATGAAATGCAAAGTTGCAAGTTTTAAATATAATAATAAAAATTAATTAAAAAATTACCTTTATTCAATAAACAACTTTAATGCCAAAAAGTTGGAATGTGAACTTAGTTGAATTACCAAAATGAAATAGCTAAAGTGATAAAGCTGCCGATTAGTAAAAGCATGTAAGTAAGCTAATACTATAAAACTGAAATATATATATATATATATATATATATATATATATATATATATATATATATATATATATATATATTATTTAACATTTAATCATTTGTCAATTAAGGTTGCTTAGCAAAAATTGCAATGATTGAAGTCTGAGAACAATTAATCCTTAAAACTTTCGCTTCACCTGCCCCAATTGTGAAAGCAAAAAATTGATAGAATATTTTTTTTTTACTATTATTAACTAAATTTGTATTCATCTATAAATTTTGAAAGCCATAGAGTAATTTCTTAGTGTTCAAAAATTATGACCTTAATTAAATTTTACCCCCTCAAATTAAGGGGTTTTTCAAACATTTAGTCTTAATTTTGAACGGTAATAGATTATTATATAAAGTTTTATATTTATCAATAAGCTTAAACTTAGTTGAGAATAGTTAAAAGATATATATCATAAAGTTTTTCCCATAAACTTTAGTTTTAAAGAGAGCGTTAATAAACCAGACCATTAAAGATTTAAAAACTAAAATAATTTTTTTTTCTCAAATGATAAAATGCCTGCCCAAACCAAACCCTCATTCGATGTAATAACACTCCCTTGCAAGTCAGGCTATTTGTCAGTCGATGTAGCAACACCCCTTTGTAGTAGCAGGCTATAAGATAGTTGATGTAGCAACACTCCGCGTATGTTTTAAAAATATACTTTAATAAAACAAAAACACCATTAATTAAAAAAACACTTTCTAGTCATTATAATTGCGTTTTTTTTAAAAAACAATAAAATTTAATACACTTCTGCATTAATTTAATTGCTTGAACATTTCGATGAAAATAAAATGTAGCTTAGTTGTTGAGGTAGCAAAATTGTGGTCAAAAGAGACTTTTTTAACATTAAAAAACTCTTTCAGCTACGATATAAGGATAAATATATATATATATATATATATATATATATATATATATATATATATATATATATATACATATATATATATATATATATATATATATATATATATATATATATATATATATATATATGTATATATATATATATATATATATATATATATATATATATATATATATATATATATATATATATATATATATATATATATATATATATATACTCTTGCATGGTAGTTAAAAAGAGTTTCCCATAAACTGTAGTTTTAAAGAGCGCGTTAATAAACCAGACCAGAAAAAGTTTAAAAACTTAAATTTTTTTTTTTTTTTTTAAATGATAGACTGCCTGCCCAAACCAAACCCTCAGTCGATGTAGCAGCACTCCCTTGCGAGTCAGGCTATTTGTCAGTCGATGTAGCAGCACCTTCTTGCAAGTTAGGCTATTTGTCAGTCAATGCAGCAGCACTCCGTTGCGAGTCAGGCTATAAGATAGTCGATGTAGCAACATTTACGCATGTTTTAAAAATGTTTTTTAATAAAACAAAAACAAAAACACTACAAATTAAAAAAAACTTTCTAGTCGTTATTATTGCGGTTTTTTTAAAATTTTTTAAAAAACAATAAAATTTAATGTACTTCTGCTTTAATTTAATTGCTTTGACATTTCGACGACAATCAAATACAGCTTAAGAGACAAGGTAATTAAAATTGTAGTCGAAAGAGACTTTTTTTTACATTAAAAGACTCTTTCGACTACACTATAAGGATATTTATATATATATATATATATATATATATATATATATACATATATATATATATATATATATATATATATATATATATATATATATATATATATATATATATATATATATATATATATATATATATATATATATATATATAAAAGGGCCCTGCGAATCGGCAGTTTTTGTTTTGAATCGAATCTTGAATCAAAGCAGGTCTTGATTCGCAATTGAAATCATGTTTCGAATCAACATTTTGAAGTTTATATTTAAGTATTTTTTATTTAATAATATTTCAAAACAAAATAAAAAAAAACAATTTGTATAATCTTTTTATTAATGCTTTTTGCCCTAATTAACCTTTTTAATGACTGATTAAAAAGGTAATTAAGGATTAGTAACAAAAACTTTAATAGTGTTAAAGCGCAGAATATCTAAAAAATCCACAACAAAAACCAAATAAGTAAGGATTTGAATTTTTGAATTGTATCTTGAATCATATTTTTTATTCGATTCGATTCAAAATTTCGAAGCTTCGCAGGGCCCTAATATATATATATATATATATATATATATATATATATATATATATATATATATTATATATATATATATATAATTGTTACAAATAAATTATTAAATAATTACACAATCCTCACAATAATTCTGATTTCCTTTTATAATTGTGACACAATTATTAAAGGACTTAACAAAATTTGCAATGTGAGAAATTTCAAAAAATCATTTATCTAAACTGATTTCAATAAAAGTGTTATCATTTCCTGATAACACCTTTATTGAAATCAGTTTAGATAAAAAAATTTATTATTAGCTGTTTTTCTCTTTAATTGAGAAAAAATTTCAAATAAAATCTCTCGAAATTCAAGTCATAGTTTTAGGTTTAAAATTATCAGTTATGTACATGAAATTGTATCATTTTCAACATTCTAAATGAATTTTTCATATTTTTATGTAGTCCCATTGGCGGTATTCAATTTAATATTAAATTTTTTACAATCACACTATTTATCAGTACTCAATTGTGCAGCCATCACAAGACTATGGTGGATTCAAAAAAACTTGGATTTATTGTAAAGTATTCAGGATTATTTTTAAGCTGCTTTAATGATTGCTTGAGCTTTATGCTACTTTAATGATTGCTTGAACTTATAATTCACTGAGGTCCTCCAGTCTATTTCATTGAAACAACATTTTGCCTTTTACTGCTTTTTTCTTGTTTACAATAATCTTATGGAAATTCTTCTTTTTATGGAGATTCTTCTTATGGATGCAATATTTTAAGAAAGCTTTTTAAAACAAAAAAGTTTTTTGCAAATTATTTGAATGTTAATAAACATGTATATAACGGGTAAAACTGCATTTGAACGTCAAGTTTGTTTTATGTTAGTACTCAATCATTCAATTAAACTAGGATAAAACAAAAACTTCTTTCAACATTTTTTATACTGTTATATCCAGTTTGACTAAGCCACAACAAACAATTTATTTAAAACTAAATTAATTAATGTTATTTTACACTTTAATCAATTTATTCAATAAAAATATTTAATATAAACAAAACCGTTTTTATTTAAAAATTGAATAAAAATTGTTATTATTTTTATCGCTACCATTTTTGTTTTTGCCTCATGCGCATGTTGCGGGGTTTTCCAATGTGCAAATCCAGGTTTCGCGTTTTTAATAAAATCCTGACCCGAATATAATAAGTGCTTGAATCTCGAATTCGTTTTTAATAGTGATAAGTTAAAACAAATTTTGCTACAATATATTAAAAATAATAGGCCTCTGACCCATTAGCCACGACACTGCTAAAACCTGTTTTTTTCAGCTCAAAAAATAGGTGACTGAAATATTTATAAATAAATATATACTATTAGAAGAAAGATCTATAAAGCGTCAATTTGATATTTAATAAAAAATAGTTAACTTGTAAATATTTAAAGAAAATAGTAGAAAAAATGTTTTCAAAAAAGACAAAAAAAATTTATCAACTTTTAAATTTAAAAGACAAAGTAGTTGCGAATTTAAATTATTACCATTAGTCCTTATAGTTTGGAAGTTTAAAATCCAATCATTCAAAAGTTGGAACTCAATTTCATTAAAACTCGAAATTCATAACTTCAAAACTTGAAATTCTCAACTTTAAAGCTTGGAATTCAATCATTTAAAGTTGAAAACTAGAGAAAATTACTTGGGTGATTGATGCAATTTATTGAACGAAAAGATTGAATCAGGTAAGCAGAAAAGAAGTAATAACAAGTAGTGAAGCTAAATTATCAAGAAGATTTTTTTTACTTGCCATCTCAGAGTATTTATTTGTTATTTCAAACCTCTGACTTACTTTATGGAAGTGTTTGCTTGTTTACTGATTTCTAATTTTATTTTAAATTTTATTTATTTTTCTATCTAACTGTCTAACTACTCAAATACTTTTTATTCCGGATTATTATAAGTGTATTTATATTAAACGTACCCTTATATTCATTTATCATTGCTACTTCCATGATATTTTGGTATGTATATTTGCATGATATTGTTGTTTATGCACTCGAATTACTTTTTTTTTTTTTAAAGTACTGTTTATTGATTTTTTTTTTAAATTATAGTTATTGCTATATACTATTTGGTACTTTTTATTATAATTTTTGTCGTATACTTAGTTGCTAATATTTTATGTTATATATTAAAGCCACTGCATTATTATCTCTCATCTCTTTGAATTTATTACTATTTTACATTAATGTTTACAAGCTATATTTCATCTAACAAACTCCTTTCTTTTCTTTTTTTTTATTTCTTTTTTTTTTCCTACTAAATAAAACCAAATTGTTTAACACTCCTAATACATTATTATGCCATCTAAGAATTCATTTTGGCTCTCTTTCTTAGCTCAAGCTTGACCAAACATTATTGCACAAGAATACTAATTTACTATATTCTCTTGACACTACATCAAGTCCACGAAATTTAATTTCAGATCTAAATAATTCCCAAGATTCAATTAATTGTAAATACTATGACACCATAGATTTCAATAAAAAAATTAATCCTAATTCAGATCTTTATATTCATCTCAACTTTGCTTCTTTACCATATCACATTGATGATCACTGCAGCTTTATTAGCACTCTGAATACATTACCTGTGGCAATAGATGTTTCAGAGTCAAACTTGTATGTAAATGATTCAAATAGAACAAGCATATCTATAAATGGTTTTAACATTGGGCATTGCCCCACTGAGGCTAAAAAAGGGGGTGCTCTTCTATATCTAAATTTTAATTTAAACTACATAGTTCGCAACGACCTAAAGATCTTCTCTTCCAAATGTTTTGAATCCGTTTTTGTTGAAGCTATAAAGCCTCATTTAAAAAATATAATAATTAGTTGCATATATCAACGTCCATCTATGAATCAAGATGATTTTACTAATAATTATTTAACTCCACTATTAGATAAGTTAAGTATTGAAAAAAAAAAATTTTCCTATGAGGGATTTTAATATGGATATACTAAAATATAATGAATCAAATCCTATATCTAGCTACATTGACTCGCTTATTTCTTTTTCATTACATCCTGTTACAACTCTACCAACACGCATAACAGCTAAATCACAAACACTTATTGATAACATTATAAACTTCAATTTACCTGACCAAATCTCTAACAATCTTACTATTTCAATATCTGATCATATAGCTCAATTTATCTGCATTCCTAGAAAAAATAACCACCCTAAAAAAAAGTATATCTTACAAGCGATGCTTCAAGTGACCTTTAACAAAAATATATTTATTGAAGATGTTTCCAACATTAACTGGAATCTCTATATTAAAAAAAAAGATGATGGTAATCAATCTATCAGTTTTCTTTTAAAGACATTTAAAAACCTATTAGATCAGCATACTCCATACAAAAAACTAACTAAGCAGCAAATGAAACTTTATTCAAAACTATGGATCACCAATGGCATACTTAAATCTATTTCCATTAAAAACAGATTATATAAAAAATGCACAAAATGTAAAAATATTAGTACTTAAAATAAACTGTTTTCTAAATTTAAATTTTATAAAAACAGAATCAGCCATCTACTAAAAATTAATAAAAAATCCTATTACACAACCTACTTGAGTAAAAAACTTAAATAATATTAAGAATACTTGGAAAAGGATAAAAGAAATCATTAATATAAAACCTTCCTCCTATAGTTCAACTCTCAAACTTAAATTGAAAGAAAATATTATCACAGGTCAAACTACTGTATTAAATTTGTTAAAGAACTTTTTTGTTACTATCCAAAACAAGCTTTAAAAAAAAATTGTACCTTCAACATCCAAATTTACTGACTATATCAACTCTCCAAATTCTAAATTATTCTTTATTGATCCTGTCACAGAGAATGAAATCTCCAATCTTATTTAAACCACCCTTAGAACTGTAAAAAGCTTTGGTCCAAATAGCTTTCCTACATTCATTTTGAAACTTATTCCAGAAATAATTTTTAAACCTCTTAGTATTATTATAAATAACTCATTTTAAAACGGTTTATTCCCAGATTCTTTCAAAGTTGCTAAAGTCATTCCGATATTTAAAAAAAGGTTCTACAATGGATATGTGTAACTACCGTCCTATCTCTCTTCTTTGAAACCTAAGCAAACTCTTTGAAAAAGCTATGCATAAGACGCTCTATACATTTTTGAATAAATTTAAATGCCTTTACAAACACCAGTATGGGTTTCTTGCTAATCATTCAACTACTCACTCACTTATTAAAATTACTGAGTCTATTAGAAAAGCTTTTGACAATAAAAACTTTGAATGTGGTGTCTTTGTAGATCTATAAAAAGCTTTTGATACAGTAGATAATTCTATCCTACTCAAGAAATTAGAATACTTTGGAATCAGAGGAATGCCTCTTAAATGATTTACTTCCTTTCTTCACAACAGATCTCAGTTTGTCTCAGTCAATGACTCAAAATCTACTCAAATAAATTGTTCCAACGGTGTCCCTAAAGGCTCAGTATTAAGACCACTACTTTTTCTTCTTTATATTAAAGACCTTAATTAAAAAATTAACAAACACATTAATCATAATTTTGCCAATTTAGTTCAGTGGCTTCGCTCAATTAAGTTTTCAACTCCTTGTCACTTTGCTGATAATACTAACTTGCTCATTATCAAGAAATCTTTAAAAAAAAATTAACAAACACATTAATCATAATTTTGCCAATTTAGTTCAGTGGCTTCGCTCAAATAAGCTTTCTCTCAACTGTAGCAAAACTGAACTGGTCATATTTAAATCTAATACAACAAAAATCAATAAAAATATAAACTTTAGATTAAGTGGCCAGAAAATCATTCCTGTAAACTCTATCAAATAGTTTAGAATTATAATTGATTCCAACCTATCGTTTGTGTCCCATCTTAAAGACTTAGCCATAAAATTGAGCAGATCAAATGGAATGTTGGCAAAAGTTCGCCATTATGTCAATCTGGAAACACTATTAAATATATATCATGCCATTTTTGGCTCACATATACGATATACTTGTCAAATATGGAGACAATCTCAAAAGCAAGCAGTTTTATGGATATTCCATCTTCAAAACAAAGCTTTAAAAATAATACATTTTTAGAATTACAAATTCAATCCTAATGTGCTATATCTTACTTCTAATATCCTTAAACTATGTGACCTTGTTCATTTCTTGAATTGCCAGTTTGTCTGGAATCACTAACACAAAAACCTACCTCTTACCTTCAACAATTTCTTCCCAAAAATGCAAATAATCGTTACTATCTTCGATCGATTGATAATCTGAATCTTGCAGTCTAACATTGTTCTGTTACTTAAGGATATAAGTCCATAAAAACCAAAGTATAAAGTCTTGGAATAACCTTCCCTATGACCTAAAAGCTCTCCATTCAATCTATGTTTTTAAGAGTAAACTATTCCATTCTTTCCTAATCAAGTACAATTAATAAATCCAAAGATATGTATGTATTTTTAAGTGTTTGTGATAAGCGCATGTGAATAAGTGGTGTGTGTATATGTATGTATGTGTATATGTATGCATTTATGTGTATATCTGTATGCGTATGTTAATATATATATATATATATATATATATATATATATATATATATATATATATATATATATATATATATATATATATATAAATATATATATATATATATATTTATATATATATATATATATATATATATATATATATATATATATAAATATATATATATATATATATATATATATATATATATATATATATATATATATATATATATATATATAAATAAATATAAATATAAATATATATATTTATATATACGTGTGTGTGTATGCAAATATGTGTTGGTGTATATAATATATGCATATATAATATTATTAAATGTGTGTATATGTATTTTTGTTTGTATTTGTGTATGTATGTATGTGTTTATGTATGTATGTATA